ATAAATATTATTGTATAAGGATTATTAATATAAAATGTGCATTTATAAGAACAATAATTGAACATTAGAGATTATAAAATTCAATTGGTGTGACTGAAATAATTTATTCGTCTTGATAAAAAATATTTTATTTTAGGCGTTTTGTATAGGCAAATTATATTTATGAATGTATATTTAAGAATTAGTCGATTAAATGATGGTAAAATAATATCATTATAATACGATTTTTATGATAATCTTATAATAATTAAATTATGTCCCTTGAGTAGAATTTAGTTTTAATATATTTACGTTTTTATTGTAAATAAAATAATAAATTTTCCAACAGTTATTTTTCAAAGACCAATCAACAAATACTTTAGAAATCGCTTTACATCAGTTGTTACTAAATACCTAATCTTCTACAATATTATGAAATAAAATCACGTAAAAATATTATTAAATAAATACACAAAATAAATAAATATATAATATTAAACTGTAAAATATGTGTTTAATCAAAAAATAAAATCGAAAGTTTATAATTGAGATTAACCCTAGAAAAACTAGGTAATTTTAGTTCAACAATTCTTTTTTTTAAATTTTTGAACTTGCATATTTTTTTTAATGGTCATACTTTAGAATTCTTAAGCCATAAATAACCGTGGTTTAAATGTGATGCTGTATTTTTACATAACACCTAAAGACTATAAGAACCATAATTATGAATAATAAATTATTTGTACACGATTTAATAAACAATTCATTATTCCTGAAATTCTGAATTAAAAATAACCTGATAATACGTGGAACAATTTAGTAAATATAACATTTAAAATAAATGTTTAAGCGTTATAGTGGAAAACATTTTTAATTTTTACATTTTTTTAATTTGCGAATGTATCTGTAAAATGATCAATGTCCATTTTGGTTAAATCGTTCTTGTTTTGTTTAATAACTCGACGGCCAATAGAAAATAGAGATTGAAATAAACACCACAGTTGAATAAAGTGTCTTCAATGATATTATTTTAAATTAAAATTGTTATAATGTGTTGATTTTATGTTTCAATAAAATTCAAAATCGATCGGTTCTTAGAGATTTTATTAAAAAATTGTCTGAGTTACTCTCGTCCCCAATCACATTTGAGGTGCGATCGATTATCGAATACGTATTGTATGATATTAAACCAGTTTGCGCAGATGCGACTTACCTGCGCACCGACAGACTATAACAAAAATAAATAAATAACTCAGAAAATCGTAGGTAGGTAAATTAGATGCGGTCCAATCAGGAACGTATTTAGGAGGATTGGCGAGCGGGTACCTATTGCCACGGGCGGCACATTTTTTTGCAATAAAGGGTAGCAGCATTTTTTTTGTAACCATAATCCATCTATTTTCATTCGTCAATCGAAAAATTTTAATATTTTAAGATTTTGCAAAGTGACCTATGGCGATTTTTATTTTCATGATAATATTATTAAAAGTTGATCGCGTAAAATTATTAGATAATAAATATTACCTTTCTTGAAAATCGTATAAAACATGTGTAAGGGTGGCAATAATACTTTACCTGGGGCGTCAAAACTCTAAATACGTCTCTGCGTCTAATACAAGAATGGCTGCACATATCCTTGCATAACAATCATGAATCCGTGTCTAATCGGGCCAGTACAATATTATGAATTTTTGCGGTCCACGATCGACGTTCTTGTTATCGATACAAAATTGGTAATAATAATTATTGTACACAGAAATAATAGGTTCATTACATTCACCGTTATCTAGGTATTTTTGAATCATACACCAACTAATTGAGTGTGCGTGTTTATAATATTACGCTTTGATCGAGTGTGTATAATGTTAAAATTATACCATAATATACGTCAAGAAGCGATACGGGCTTTTGAAAAGTGCCGCAACAATAATAGCTTCATTTCTCAAACAGTTTAAATTTTATTACGTTATAATATATCAATTAAAAAACGGAAAAAAATGTATATTAAATATAATTTATAACGCTTAGATTACTTACTCACGACGTAAAGAGTTGGATAGCCATCAATTATTTACCATGGACAATACATTATTATGGTCCGTATAAATGTATTGCAATCTTAGCTACTACTTTAAGGGTATAATCAATCGTCTGATTAGTCCATGTTGTGCTATAAAATTATACGAAGAATTCATGCACACATTTTAGATATTGCTTGTGTTGTATTTACGTTATAATACAAATGTCAAGTAATTTTCGGAATTAATACGATTATAATAATACCATGATAATACTATTCCGCGGTAACATGGTATATGAGTGGCGATCACTTTGCATACGTTAAAGCCCAGATGAGAATTTCACGATTTGATTGATTTTGAATATTGTAAAAATCAAAAGGCGTAAAGGAATTCGAATTTTTAGATTTTTAGTGACTCTATGACGGATATTTCACAGCTATATTATATTAAAAATGGGATTTATTATTTTTTCAGTGAAAATTTTTATTTATTTTCTTTTTACTATATTTTTGAACTTAATACAATACGAAGTGATTTTAAAATGGTTCGAATGTAAGCACACATTTTTAGTATGTTTTAATTGCATATTTTTTAAAACAACTTTTTCTTAAAAATAAAACACCTACGAAATCTTTATATCGATGTGTTTATTGGTAAGTTGTAATTGAACACAAAAAATCGTAGTAACATAATTATTTGTATACAACTTCTAATATTTTGAGTGAATGACGAAATTATAATATTTTAAGTAGAATATTTGGTTTCCAAAACCTGGTAAATTCAAATATATCATTAAATTGACTCCTAAAAATTGTGTAGTACATTTGGCTCTTAATTACAGGAGTTTAAACTTTAAAATTGAGACTATAAAAATTATAATATAAAGATTATGGCGAAAATTAAAATTTAATTTTTCGAGTCAACATTTTGTGATTAGTGAAAATAAATATCACTTTTGATATTATCTTAAACCAATACTTACTTTTAATACGTTCTACGATACGTGTTACAATAATATAGGGTGACCATATTTATGAAAGAAAAAAACGGGACAAATATGTTCTCAAAAAAAAAAGACAACATTTTTTTTAACTTCTATATTATATGCAATAAAAATAATTTTAATTAGTTTTATATGATATTTTAATTAAAAAATTGATTTGCATTCTATTTTTGCTGTGAGATTGAAAAAAATTTACTTAAAATATTCTTTATTTTTATTGTGTTTGATTAATCAATTAGTATGTGTAATTGATTAATCAATTAGTGTTTAAAAATGCATAAATTATAAAAACCATACATAATTTATGCGAAAGAAAATTAAAATGAAATTGTTTGTCTAGAAATTACAGTCCTATCAAAAATATTTAGCAATATTCCAATTTATCAGTTTAATTATTTTTCGGATAACATTGAAAATATATTTATTGATACTATTACATTTCGTATTAGTTTGAAGTTTTGGTAAAATATCAAATTACTTAACGCATGAGTATTACTCCGAAGTGAAGAGTTTTACTAAAACTATGTACGTACAGTGTGATTAAAACGCTTCAAGCCTATGTGGTGGATTTTGTTAGGATTATTGGTAAGATATATATTGTTTTCATGATTAAGAAGCAAAATCCCATTTTCACAAACCTATATTTATATTATTTTACAAGTATGATGTATTATATCTATAGTTCTTACTTATGTTTGTATTAGCAATTAACAATAAGTATTCTAAGGTAACTATAATTATATATTAACATGTTGGCAGATACAAACAATAATGTTTATAATAATTATTAAAATATAATATTTTAGGTAAATAATTTTTGTTCGTATTTCATTCGTTTGTTTTGATTTCGCTCTCATTGTTTCACACCCGACCTTTTTTCGTTGAACTATAATTTATAAAGTTTATTGCAAACCAATTGTTACTACACGGAAAAAAATATTTAGTTAAGTCAACCGAAATTATATTTATTTCAACTAAAAAAAATAGTTGCCTGGGGGACAGCTATAAAATTAGCTCAAGTTACTAATATGATTTAGTTGAACAATTATAGTTGAAGTAGCAATATGTATTATAGTTGAATTTCAAAACTACAAAATAATATTTATTTCGACTAAAATAAATAGTTAAACCTGTTATCATACTTAGTAGGGCCAACTAAAATTGAAGTAGCTATTATTAAATATTTGCTTATGTTGACTATTATTTATTTGAATTATAGGAATATCTACTATTTTTTTTTATATACCAACTAAAATTATAGTTACTTTTTTAGGAAATTTATATTTGTTACAGCTATAATATATAGTAACAATTACTATATTTTATTGGCAGCCTCCCCCACCACCAAAATGTATTTTGAATGTTATTAACTATAAAAGCATTTATATATAAATATAAAAAAATATGTAGTTAAGTCAACTGAATATATATATTTTTTTTTCAACCATAAAAAATAGTTGTCTGGGGGACCTATAAAATTAGCTATATATATTTGTATTGGAACAATGTAACTTTGTCTTAAACAACATAAAATATTATCTGATTGTGCAAATGATATGAATTAAATAAATATAAAATATACATAATAAATAAAGACCTTTTACTTGCAGTAATTATTTCCATAAAACAAATTAAAATTTTGGTTTGCTTTATTACCATTACACTAATAATAATAAAAAAAAACTTATATTATAGATATATAGATAGATGTTAATATATATAATACAAACAAAAGTTAAACATTGCACGCTTGCTTTATTGCCATAATAGCACAAATAATAATGTTAATAAGTAACATATTTTATATAAATATTATAATAGATACATATGTAGATATAATAGATTAATACACAGATATATGTAATATAAACAAAAGTAAAACATTGACTTGCTTTATTGTCATTACACAAATAATAAAAAAAAACATATACAATGTAGATCTATATAATATATATATAGATATAAAAATAATAACTATATAATATATAAAAAATAACTTATAAAGGGATAAAAATTAAATCTGAGCCAGATACACGGACTTTGTGTGACCTCTGATGTAATTGTTCCAAATTAATGCAAATATATTTTGGGATAGGGGTAACATTAAATGCCTGATAATGTTCATTAAAATAATTTGTTTTAAATAGTTGGCATATTGCAAATGATAGGTTGACATCTGTAATAAAAATATGTTTTATTAATCCAAACGATGGTAACATATCTTCAATTTCGCAAGCATTTATCACTATACACATATTATTACAATTAAATAGAATATTTTTTATTTTTACCCAAGAAACAAACATTATATTATCATTAGAGAAATCAAAATTATTAGTTATAAAATTAATAATTTTAATTATTAATTTTATTATAGAACTGCAATGTTAACACATTAATCTTTAAAATCCGTCCAACTTAATTTAATAGGTAAAATATCTATATGTTATGATTTTTTTTTAATAATTTAAATTTTATTTTTTTAAATATATTAAAAAAATGTATATAAAGTTAAAATTTTGAAAGAAAAAAATAAGATTTATTATTTGTATGAATGAGCAAATTAAAATAATATGAATAGGTACCTAATTTTAAGCCATTTATGAAAAAATCTTGTACTAGTATCAAAATAACAATAGGTTAATAACTTATGATATATACGTTATAATAATTTGTAATTTAGAAATTAGGTAGTTATTTAAATATCAAAATGTATGAAATATATTTTACCTGAAGAATATTCATTATTTTTTTTAGCAATACTAGTGTTCGAAGACCGTAATACAATTTCATTTAATAAAATTTCCTCCTCAACATGATTGTTGTCAATGGGTAATAATGTATTATCAATATCCGTTACTTCAAATTCCAAACTGTCCCAATCAATTGCAGGGTGTTTTGGTTGTAATTCAATGTTTTTAACAGCTAAATTCTACAATGTTAGAAGGGTTGTATAAGAAAATAAATATACATTACATTATTTCCCAAAAATAAATTTATCAGATAAACCAAAAACATTTCTCCCTTTTTTTTGATTATATAAAATGAAAAAATTCTTTAGGAGTTCATACTTTAAGATTTTTTAATTCTCCAAGATTTTTTAAAAATACTGATCGTTGACCAATCTTAGGAAACAATTGTGTGACCATGGTTTCAGTTAAGTTTAACAATGCCATTTCATTTATTTCTTCATCTAAATAAAATATAGGTAGGTACAATTTATTATTTGAATATAGGTATTAGAATAATGTTTCTTTGTATGTCTAATTTAAATTAAGCTTTTAATTATGGAAGATACCTTTAAAAACTTTAATGATTTCTGATGAGAATCCCCATTCTTTCAATTTTGATTCAGTATATATATCCATAGTATAACACTAAAAATACACAAATTCTATAAAAAAAGTGAATACTTTTAAATTTTATTAGAGGGTAAATTATATTTATTTTTTTTCATTTTAATAGATTTGTAGGTAGTTACATAAAAGAGAATATTATTTATAAACAATTAATAAAATCATGACTGACTTTCAAAAGCAGCGCAATAACGCATATTTTAGAGTTTTTAAGTGCATATTTAAGAGCTAAAAAGTAACATTTTTTGTGCTACAACTTCCGAGCCCTGGTAATAACTAATGGGTAGGTATAGTAAAACAAATAAACTTACCTTATAAGGCTCAAGCAGAAATTGACAAAATTTATTGGTGCGAATAAAATAAAACGCGAGACACAACATTAGCACATTACAATGGTAAAATAGTAAGATACACAACGAAATTTAATATTTTTATATGTATTGGTAGACACAATATGGTTAATAGCGCCGTAAAGATCACGATAATCGGAATGCCATCAATGTAGCTACTAGCGGGGGGAAGAGAGGCCTTATACGATAACGGAAACATTGGTAAATCCCGAAGTTTCCTAAAATAAACAGTAGTTCTGTTATAATTATAGTTGAAATCACTAATATTTATAGTAAATACAACCACACCGTTTTTATATTAAATCTTAGCCGAGGTAATAAGTAACTGTAACTAAATAATAGAAATTGTACCTATAATTTTTCAACTATGATACTTTAGTAATATTTGCTAAATATAATTAGTAACAATAACTGAAATATAGTGTAACCACCTATAATTTTAATAGCTATAATTTTATAGTAATTTTTTTTTTCCGTGTAGGAATAAAATAACTATATCTAAATAAAAAAAAATTAATATTTTTCTCAAAAAGATGAATTTATTTTTATTCGGAAAGGCGATTTGAATAAAAAATCATTTCCGTGACATTTTCAAGTGATAAAAATGTAATATGTATAAATATGATACGCAATGCATTTTATGAATAGGTGTACCGATAATTATGATTTAGTAAAGACGTCGTGATCGTGGTCCGAGGCGAATTCCATTTAAAACCGGCGTTTGACGTTTGCACAATTTTCAGTAAACGTCGAAAATTTAACTCCCCTTCTCGCGCTGAAACTAGTGCAGCAACGATATGCATTTCGAGTGGCACGCAACTTAGTCGAAGCCTTACGCGCGGACATGGGCGTATTGTAGAGGGGCGAAGGGGCGATCACCCCTGAATCAGTGGCGTAATTGAGAATGTTTCATGGAAAGGAACAAAATAAATTTGTATGGCAAACTTGTGGGGGCAATGCTTGTGAAATTCAGTATCACAATTTAGTCCGATATTTTTTCATATAATGATAATATCTTCAGCAAGGCTTACTGCTTCTCTTAGATCAATTTTTTTTTTTTTTTGTAGCAACTTATACAATAGTAATCCAAAAGAAAAAACCAATTGGAAAAATATTTTATTATAAAATAAAATAAATTATATTTATTAATTACTATTTACTTGTATAACTTGTAAGGATATAAGAAATTCTGAATCAATAGTTTTTAATAGTATATTAACTTACGTTGCAGTGGAATCATTCCAATTAGGAATATTTTCTGTACCTATGATTCAACTACGAATGCAAATAGTTCAATGAAATCTGTTACCGCATCATAATGCTGTACCCATCGTGTAGCACACAATCTTTTTAAAGTTTTAACCTTAGGATCCTCATTACTATTTTCAATGTTGGTTAAAAGAACATTTTGACAATTTGGTGTATTGAAGAAAACATAGACGTATACGGATAAATATTTATAACCGGGTTTTTTTTTTTAGTTTCGTAATAATTTATAAGTTTGTATTTGAGCTATTTGTAGGTTTAAGACAATATATAAATACAGCTCATGGGGAATATCTATCCTTTTTATCCCCCCTCCCCATAATTACGCCCTTGCACTAAATCCGTATTTGAGGAATTGATTATATGTGAGATACACATTTCAAATTTTTTTAATGTGAATCATTTTGTAACTAAATAAAATTACGCGTGGCTGGGAATACTGAATCGGGCTTTTTATCGGGTCTATACTTAGTAAAAAATCAAATAAAACACAAGCGTAACTTTCAAAACACAGACAGGTATAAAAAAGAAATACACAAAAGTCGATTCTAAGTAGATCCGGCATTAGATTAAAACAAAAAAAAACCACAAATATTAAGGATTTATTTGATTTAAATATTACCAAAACTTTTACTTGTAAATTTTGAGCCTAAATTAAAGAAACAATTTGAGTCCCCCCTCTCTAAAAGTAAGTCTGAATACGCCCCTGTGCGCGGACGTGTTATTTTTCGTATGTAAAACCGAATCCGGGAAAAAAAAACGCGTGACAAATATCGCTGTTGCCCGTCAACAGCGGCAATTAATTGAAAACCTTCAAAACGTCATAATATACATAATAAATAGTCATTACGCGCGGACGACTGCATGTGTGTTTGCGAGCGAGGTCATCGCGTTATTTATCGTTCAGAACGTCTAAGGATTCAAAAGACGAGGGTAGGGTGATAATGATGATGATAAAAAAATCAACCCCGAGACACTCCTCTTTCGAACGCCACCGCTGCAACGGTCTCCGACGAGCGGTGGTGGTGGTAAATGAGACGAAACACGCAGCGGCGGCGACGGCGGCGGTTCGGGAAATAATGACTTCAATTGTACCACGACCGGAGGTGCAGAAGCGCAGCGGATCTCGGTAGCGGTTCGTGGTACCGGTAGTGGTGGTAGCAGCGGCATTTAGTAGTAAACACCGATTGTCGCGCGTATGTGCAGCAGTAATTAGGATTGATATGTGTACAATATCGTGAGTGGTGTACAAACAGTCGGACGAATGTCTTGTGCGTCGCACTCGTCAGGTAATTGCCACCCGGACGATTAAACCATTGCACTGAAAATTCGACATGGGACGACCGTCTTTCGCGGGTTTGATTTTATTTTAATAATATACACGAGACTATCTTTATTATTATTATTGCATTCTGACCGTCGGTGGGCGCGCCTGTAATCTGTATGCCCCACCGACTCCGGTGATAACGCACACGCACAATAATAATTATTATCATCTCGACGCGATAACGGAACCGCGTAATTATCGAGAAAAACCAACGGCCGAACGAATCGCGCCCGCCAGTCCATCACCTTGCCTTCGGACGTACGGAACGCGTACATCACCGGTTTGCTGGATAACCAAGCGAACGAACCGTTTAGATTACCGAAAACATTCATCTCATTTCGTTACCGTGGTTCTTACCGGGTCTATGTTGCGTCGTTTTATTTTTTACCATATTTTTTCCGTTTCGTCGTTTTGATTTCATCGCGCGAGCAATGGATCGTTTTTCGATTCGCTGGACTCGAGCGGACCCGCCGATCTTCGCACCACTCGTTCCGCGCTGACCCGACGATCGACATCGATCAGAACAGAAGAAATAATCACCATCAACATTACCGGGGTCGTACCGTTACCACCTAATCACTCGGGCGCGCACGCACGCACACACGCACGCCGTCTAAACATGCATATCGGACGCCATAAGAGATTAACAGGTCAGTACATACACGTGATATATTATAATATACAATACGTACATGCGTGTTACGAGCACACCAACGTATATGTTATATAATGATCTATATTGATCTATATTGTACATTCGCGTTGGTTCCGGTCCATCGCACCGAATGCGGAACACTCGCTGGCTTTGGAATATAGACACGTTTCTCGAAATTTATTTATTTATTTCCCCCTCCTCCCCCTGAATTTTACCACCTTTATTCTCAAGCACGGTTTTGGACAGCTTTGCAACAAAACATAGTAATCCTCTTGAACGCGTTGCGTTGAGTTTTTGAAAAACATCAACGAAGCCCTTATAATCGAATCGTATGATATAATATAAACAGGTGTTTAAAATATATCTTCGACGTTCGACGATGGACGCGGTACGCTTCTTCGTTTACGAAACAACGCGAAAATACCGATTCAAACGTTTCGTTATAGCACTAATACGCAGTACAGTAATATCCATTTTCGAGTTTTTAATATTTTCATTTATTTTTTCCGACAAAATGTATCCATAAACTAATCCGATCCTGTCACATTGTTTTGAAATTAATAGTATTAAACCGTTACTCATCGCACTCCCCACCCACGAATACTGTGTTTATGTGTTCTTGGTCGTAATGACTATTGTCATACCAAATTGATCGATTTCGAATTTTCGTTGATAAAACCATTACTTACCAAGTACGACGGGACAAATTAAAAAAAAATACATTCGATATCGAATGATAAATGCTAACAAAAGTCGAAAGAACTAATACATTTGGATTACGAGACTACTGTACGTTAGCGCTGATTAGAGAAATACGTAAGTGATATAAGAATAGATGCACAAAACAATTGTAATCGATCTTTAGATCATGTGGTAATATCGAGTTTTATCAATAGTATATTTGAAAAAATCATAGTCAAACATCATGAATTGTAGGATTAAACCAAAAAATTTAAATTCCTCGGCACAGAGCACCCAGTTGAAAAATGTTTAATATTATGATATATTATGCTTATTGTCTATACAATCAGGTACTGATGTCGAGGTATATTTACGCATACATGATTGCACGGTAACGATTGTGAGGTGAAACAAGCCTTATATTTTAGTATGCGAAAATTATAATAATTGTACACCTAAAACTGTGGGTTAGGTGGTTGGTAATTTATGGTCCATCAACGAGATCGGCCATAATAATAATAGGTATTATTTATTTTTTTGTTTCCGAGGTGGACTCCATTATACATAGGTATAGTAAATACAGTTTACGGGCACACATTTAATTTATATTATTATAACCTTACTAAAATTATCGAACGGCGAGATCAGATAAGTAAACGAACGCGAGTGCAGTTCAATATTACGCACGCGGTATCGAATAAAATACATGTATTGTAATATAAGTGGAATTTTTGACAAAATAACGAAAATGCCATCACGATCAAAATGCTATGAAATTATATCATCACTCGACCGCAGTGATAATGTTGATTAAGGTGATTTATAATGTTATTGGTTCGTATTATTCTAAAGTTTTCCTTGTAACAATAAAAATTGCAAAACAGTAGTGGTGATAATTGCAGTTACGATGAAAGACAGAATTAGATATAAGTACAATACGATAATAATACTGTAATACATATTATGACACACGGAACGAACTCGAACGTGCGTCTGCAGTTCAACGTTGCTATTATCGTTATTATTATTACGATTATTATTAACAGATCTCGCTGTTAACATAAACATATGTATTATTCTTTTTTATTTAATTATACATCATATCTTATCTGGAATTCTGTTTTTTTTTTCGAATTCAAGTGGAATACAGTAGTATAGCTTTATCGTTAACCCATGAACCCGTGCCCTATGTTGTTGTGATGTTTTCAAAGACGATGAACTTTTGATGTTGAACTAATTTTTAATTTTTTTTTGAAACCATTTGAAACTCGTGATCGAAATGCGTCTTTTATCTGACCGTTACTATTGTCTATTTGTAATCAACAATAGTTCAATAGTATTCGTCCGTACGCGCGCAATCATTTGAACATGTTGTTCAATTATAATATTGCGGATGATATAATTTTTGGATTCTGATTAAAAATACTAGCAGGAAGATACAGTATATCTACTCCTACCATTATACAATACTATGGTTTGTTCTTTAGTCCTTGCTATAAATCAATTTAACTTAAAATGTATCACGAAACACAGTTTAAATTATACGTTTAAATATTATTTTTTATCGATTCAAATTGTGTAAAACACAGAAAGGAAGGCATACGTCATACCAAATTTATCTCAAGACCTGATCATGTGTCCTGAATACTTTGAGCTTTTTTCTACATTTCATTATCGTTTTGCAATCGTGCGCGTGTGTACATATTTCGATGTGTACCGAACACATATTTTCATGGAAGACAAATGCGGAGAAAAAAATAAATAAGAACACAGGATGCGTGCCCTTTCGGTGTTTATTGATATTCGTATTTACTATAAATATTATATTATACATACACGCGCGTGCACGTTCGGATTCGTTCTTGCGAGAGTGTTGCAGTCGCCCGATCATCGTACGATCTCAGTTGCATGCGTTTCGTTTGTGGTACATTTCGGTATTTCAACACGTTGTCTACACGGACGCCTGTACCAACACGTTTGTACGGCGTAAGGCATAAAATATCAAATATATCCTACTATATGCGTATTAACACGAACGTTTTAGTTTAGTTTCTGATGTTATCGGCTAATAATAAATGTCTGTACATAAAACATTTATGTTACATTAATCTCATCGATATCCGATAATATTACTTTCCCGGCTAATACATCCTTGCAGACAGTGACGGATTGGCTAAAAATTTCGGCCCGAGAAATTACCGTATGACCAGGTCACCATTCAATAATAATAATTTTCCATAAAAGTCTCATTTATTCGTAGATTAAATGCTCGTGGAATTGCTTATATCACGTTTACACTGGGTTTTTATCACAATCTTACAATTAAATACTTAAATACATTATTTTTATAAAATAATTTTTAATCCAAGTACATCGGCCCAGTATTATAATACGACTAGCGGCCCACCGAGAACTTTCCCGTTATCCCGGTGGGCCAGACCGCCGCTGCTTGCAGGCTAGCTTTCATGCAAGAGAAAATTATGGGTGCTTATTATTCGTATTTAGAATACCTTTTGAAAACGAATTACAAATATAATATTATTCAACGATAATGTTTCATGTTTTATTATGGTATTATAATATTATTATTCTGATCATCTCAGTGTAATATTTTGCATGAGTATCCACAAAAATCACTTAGGTTTAATGGTTTTAGGATATTTTCAGAAATATTAAGTCATAATATCGTGTAAACTTTGTATGCGCGCATCTATGCATTTTGTTCTTGCACACGATTTGAAATGTACCTAAAATCAATGGCAAGAAGGGGGTAACGAGAAATGGCCACCTATCGATTTTTTTCAATATATGGCGGGTGGATAAGTAACAATTTAGTTTCGTAATTATAAATATTGGAAAATATCACACAAAAAAAAATTATAATATTGATATACGCGAAACCTAGTGTCTAGTAGTCACTAGCTGGTAACAATAAGTCAACAAATAAGTGCTATAAACGAGCAATATATTTAATACGGTGTTTGTCACATTGATCGTGTGTGTATTAGTTATTAGATATACAACGTTTTAGGTGCATTTCTTTGATTTTTATTTTCAGTAAATATTCAGTAGGGTCTTCCGTAGGTGGGTGGATATTTATCGAAAATATACTTGCCTCTTATAATGCGGTTAATGCGTTAAAGCATTTTCATAAATATTGTTTGATCGTATAAATTCTATTAATTTTGCGGTGTTGCATGATTACATTATTAGAATTATCGTTGTTCGATTGTTTTACATTTTTCTATACGGTTTTGTGAATTTTATATTTGTTTCTCATTATTATGTCGTGTATAATTAAGATGACAATATATTTTATAGTCAAAACGAGAGGAAATCATTTTTTCATAATTTTGATTATAAATTTTTTTTTATTATTTATTTAATAACTATTACTAAAATTATTTATTCTGATAATTTTAAAGAACAATAAAATAAAATAAATCAATTACATTTAATGTATACAACTTTTTTTATGTATATATATAAAAGAAAAAGTGTCTAAATAAAGAAAACGGTTGACAGTTTCTGTAATATTGAAATAATGAACTATAAAAAAGAATGTAGTAATTTTGTGTTATTGCTGATATTGCATTGTTTATGTATTATTATACAGTATACTATAGGTTATACTATATGTTAAAATGTCCGTATTTATTAGTGTAGTTATCTATCACGATACACCACATAGCCCCAAATGCTATTCACCGTCGTTACTTGTATTCGTCAATCATGCAATGATACAGTATACACCTACACGTCACATATATGCATACTAGTTAAATATAATAGAAACAATAATTCTTCAACAGATTAAAATTGATCATCAAAATATGTACTATTTTCTGAAAACGGTAAATTGTAGAAGATTTCCCAGAGGACAATGGACAATGGTATGAAAAACGAGACTGCAATATAATAAATACGAGACATATGTATCTATAATGTTCAGTTTGGAATTATAATTGTATCTCTATTAACATGATATGTTTTGATTTACATAACATTACATAAAACGAAGTATAAAAAATGTATTTCGCTGTGGGTTTGAATTAAAGGAGATTATATAGTAACTATTTATGATCGATTATTATGTGAGCATGATATAATTTTAATATTTATGCTTTCTGCGGGATCTAGAAAATTAAATTAGTAGTTATATTTTTTTCTGATGATGATTTTTGTCTAGGTTTCTCGAATTTCATCTTACGGTCACAAAATTATTCATTTTTCCTTGAGCAACATAATTATGAATTAGTATTAATTTCAAGACTTGTAATAGAAAACAAAATGAGATACCCATTTTGCTATTAA